GGTTATGTCTTCTCTCCTCTACTGTCCGCCTATTAGCAAGATTCGAGTAGTCACTGAAATGCTCAGCGGTAAAACCTTGCCTCAAACTGGGGCGGGTCTCGAGCTCAAGGAACAGCTGGTTCAACTCGTGAGTCATTACGAGGAGGAGCTTAAGCGTCTGTCCATCGAGTTCCGAGCCGCTATTAAATTCAATCAGGAGGCCCATGAGGAGGAGGTTGCGAAGTTGCAAAGGGAGCTTGAGAAAGTGAAGAAAGACCACGAAACCTTACAGTTGTCGGCAAAAGTTAAGCGAGGCAAGTTTCGGAGGTTTTGGAGTCGAGAAAAGTAAGGGAAGGGCGCCAAATTATATGGAAATTAATACCGCTGGCACGTGACTATGTAGGCATTTGTTCAAACTTTAAGTTTAAGCACTCCAGATTGTTATCCTACCACCCACGTCAACCTTTGAACAGTCTGAGCATCCATATCGTCGCCCATTACGTCCACAACTGCTCCTCCATTATCTCCACTGGCTGATTACTTGTGTTTACGCTTCCTCTGCGACTTTCGCTGTACCAACTTATACTAGTAGATCGATCGCATTATCAAAGGTTTATGATGACGAGGAAAATCAGATTTTTCAGGAGGAGAAACAGGCAATTCGCTGAAGCCACTCCGAACGGACGGCAACCCATTTATAGGAAGGTTGCTCGTATACATTGCTGTGGCCAACAAAGCCTTAGTGCTGTTGTTCTGGGGCTTTTGGGCGACATACTGAGGACCTGACAAGCAACTTCATTTATCTTGTGCAAGTGCGCATCGGAGCCGTCCTCAAATCCTGCGACCTCTAAATGGTTGAAGGCCTCCATGTTGTGTTTACTGTGGCGATTGGCTCAGCTCATGGCTTTCCGTGTGTCTCTTATTTTGCGGAAAGATTCTGGTTCAGATTGTATGTCTTCGCTTACAGCCGAGAAGATTGCGAAATCTGTGGGAGTTACCGACGGTCTCCACCACCTCAACCTCTCGTCTGCTGATGAATGTCGAGGTGTTCCGCGTCCTGGACTTGCATGTAACGTTGCCTTCAACGACGTTCAGTTTTCTTAGAGAAACCCGAAGCCACCTCCTCAACACTGTCAAACCTCACCATTGAGGACGGTGAACGTGTTGCAACTGTTGGTGTCTGGGACTCTGGCAGATCCACTATCGCCTGTCTCTTCCGACGTCTCCATGAACCTGCCTTCGGTTTGATACAAGCATTCGAATCATTGCGACAGAGATAAGAAGCTGCATTTGCCCGACGTATGAATGGAAAACGCTTGTACGGAGCATACAGGGGAGTTGTATGATCATGCTTCCTACTTTTTGGGTGGATGCAGGGAGTTTTTTTTTTTTGCAAGAGCGTTGGCACCCTTCTTGGCCAAGCCTTACGAGGAGACTTGAGCAGGTACAAGTTGAAGGAGGGGGATGACGTAAAGGTTGAGGAAAATTGTTGTTTTTGCCCATTCAGACGCTACCACATGCTTTTGCCTGGGACTGGATGCAGGATAATCGATAAAGGCTTACTCCACGTCGATTACAGCGAGGGTATGTGCCTTCACCCCTTTTCGGAAATATCCCTAATTTTTCAGCTTCATCCTAGGATTCTTCCCTGGCAGCCCACGTCACTCACAATACCTATCACGACTACTACCTCGCCCTCGGCCTCTCCCAAACAGTCATTCACAAAAACCTTCCTCCGACCTTTTCACTGGATGGACGGACGACACCATAGCCTTCGTCCACTCTGGCTGCCGTTCGCGATCTGCGCAAAGCGCTTGGGGAAGACATCACATCCATTGATATAACGGTCACTACTATTGACCCTGGGACGAACTTTGACTCCGCATTTATGGTCAATGGATGGCCGACTTTGACAAGAGAGAACACGTTAGGGACCGTTAGTGGAACTACTGGCCTGGGGCTGAAGAAAGTCATGGCGCCCGGGCCATTCACAGCAGGTGTCAGCCTCGCACCCAATGCTGATGTTATTTACCGGCCAAAGGTTATTCTCGAGCGCACTGTGACAGAAGCCCTGGTGCCACCCTCGTCGAGGGCATAGCGAAACGGACTGCTGAAAAAAGGAGCGGCTTCAAAAAATGGTCGAGGCTAAATCATCACACACTTAGTATGTTGATGAATGTTGAATGTTATCCAGCACTGTACGAATTTTAATGGGGTTTCACTATACCGTACACCGACAGTGATGAGGGCAATGCCTGTGCTTTGCCAGGGTTTTATCTTAACATTACACCACTCTCACTATAGACGCCAGATAGTATTTGGCACCAAGCTGATGATCGTGTAAGTCACAAGGCTTCTTATTGACGCCTATTCCCTTCATTCTCCCAGTACGTGTCCAGGTCACTCTTCAAATTCCGAGTCGATGCCCACAAATAACAATTCTAAGTCATCAGGTAAGTAAGCCACAGATTAATCAGATTTAAATTTCAGGAAGATAACATAGACTACCACCAGCTGAACGCCGCAGCGCTGAATCTCAGGGACGAGATTTATCTGATGCAGA